CAAGGGCCATTGAGGAAGTACATACTGAGTGCTGGAAGCACCAGGGGAGTCCCCAGCTGTTCTTGTCAGAGCAACCCTGAAACCCAGATCAAAATGGCTGCCCCAAGAGATCAGACCAGGCCACAAAGCTGAATTGCAGATGACAGATACAGAGAAAGTGGGGGATGGGGAGTGTACCTTGAGATTAAGTCCTACAAGGAACAGTAAATTTTCTACCCTGGGAAATAGTAAAAGGTCTCCTGGAACTAGGACAGGAGCAACATTTAACAGCTCCTCCTGAATTCCTTTGGAAACACAGGTTTCTCTTTGGGCCAGAATGCTAACAAGGTAGCTCAATGAATCCTTGAAACACAACCATTAAAATCCTGATGTCATAATTTATAGACTGAGTGATTGGGTTAATATCACTTCTGACATGTACCAGCTGTGTGATTTGGGGCAGTTACTTAACCTCTTTGAGTCTCAGCTTCCTCATCTGTAAAATAAATAATGGGATTTAACTCACAAAGATATCATCGCTGGAGCCCAGCAGGTGGAGGCTGCGGTGGCCGGGAGCGGCCACTGCACTCCAGCCTGGGCGACACAGTGAGACTCCAACTCAAAAAAAAGAATTAAATGAGGAAACGTTTATCAAGTACTATCTATAGAAAATACACAGTACCTGGCATGTAGTAGGGCTACAAAATATGAAAGCTGTTACTAAATACGTATGTGTGTGTCTATGTATGTATAAAATTTTGTATGTATTTGAGATATCTTGTATATTTTCTGACAAAGATGAGAATCATTCTGGTTTTAGTTTTGGACTTATTAAAGGTGATTAACAGCATGCAAAATGTTTTATGTGTCAGAGCCCCAAAACAGGATTCCAAATAACAGTGTGCCATGATAAGTTATCCTGTGTTATGGGTTAACGGTTTTGCAAACTCTCTGAGTCAGTTTAGGTAAATTACTGTGAAAGCTTCTATATGTCAAAGAAAACTAGCACCAGAGTTAGACAAGAAAGACTCCAAGACTATTGCAGTAGGGGTCAAGTCTATTACAATAGGGTAGAGAGACTGAACTCAACCTGCTTAAAACAAAAGGTGGGGGAGTTTTTAAGCATCTGGTTAAGCTAGTAGAAAAGTATTAGGGGATATTAGGGGGAGGTTAGTCAATGAAGGTAAGCTCTCTGTATTTACTGGTTGGTACTTACTTGCTTATTAAAGTT